GGAAGCCCAAGCTAGCCTTGCAGGGAGAATATGGTGAGGGAGATGCAGCCCCATCTCTCCCAGTCATCCTAGCCATGGTGACATTTGACTGAAGAAGCCATGCTGGGCATCAGCTCAGTGGAGCCTTCACATGACTTCAGATCCAGCCACCACTGCTTACAACTAAATGAAATACCCATGTGAGAATCACCCCATGACCCCTGTCCTCTGCTAGTACTACAAGTGACCAAAAACTGTCTTGTCCACTAAAATTTGGGGTGATTGTTACACAACAATAGATATTCAAAAGTAGGGTACAGAGAAAATGCTTTGCCTGGGCAGTGGGCTACCAGGGAAATAGCAGAACTCTGGGGGGGGCTCATAAGGCTAGAGAAACCATACTGGACCATTGAGAGGCCTGAAAGAAATCTCTTCAGATGGTAGAACTTTCAGTATTTTCCTTTCTTAATGTACAGCATACATATTACTGCACAGTACTGTATGTACAGTGTTAATTTAAAAAATGTAAACCCCCAAATTTAGATATAAACATTATGGATCTAAAATAATTTGAACCCCTATGAAAACATATTGTATTTTCAAAGAATATGATAAAAATGATAGAAGATTTGCAACAACATGGATGGAGCTATAGGGTATTATGCTCAGTGAAATAAGCCATGTACCAAATGATTTCACTCATCTGTGGAGTATAAGAACAAAGAAAAAACTGAAGGAACAAAACAGCAGCAGAATAACAGAATCCAAGAATGGACTAAGAGTTATAAAAGGGAAAGGGACTGGGGAGGGTGTGTGGGAAGGGAGGGATAAGGGGAAAAGGGGGCATTACGATTAGCACATATAATGTAGGGGGGAAGGCAGTAGAGCACAGAGGAGACAAGTAGTGATTCTATAGCATCTTACTATGCTGATGGACAGTGACTGTAATGGAGTATGTGCTGGGGATTTGATAATGGGGGGAATTTAGTAACCACAATGTTGCTCGTGTGGTTGTATATTAATGATATCAAAATAAAATATAATAATAAATAAATAAATAAATAAATAAATAATAGTGATAGAAGTCTGAAGGGAATACAAGCACACCTTGGAGAGATTGTGGGTTCGGTTCCAAACCACTGCAATACCACAAACAGAGCAAGTCAAATGACTGTTTTAGCTTCCCACTGTATATAAGTTATATCTACACTATACAATAGTCCAGTTGGTGGAAAATAGCCTTATGTCTGAAAAAACAGTATACAAACCTTAATTTAAAACTCTTTATTACTAAAAAAAATGCTAACCACTATCTGAGCTTTCAGTGAATCATGATCTTTTTGCTGCTGGGGGCCTTGCTTCATTCTTGCTGGCTGCTGATGGATTGCTAAGGCTGGGCGGTCATGACAGTTACTTAAAATAAGGCATCAGTGAAGTTTGCCACATAGATTGACTTTTACTTTCATGAATAATTTCTCTGGATCTGATAGCACTTTTCCCACAGTAGAACTTTTTTCAAAATTGGAATCAATTCTCTCAAACCCTACCACTGCTTTATCAACTAAGTTTATGTCATATTCTAATATTATATAATATTAATATTAAATTAAAATTAATTACATATTAATAATATGTAATATTCCTTGTTGTCATTTCAACAAACTTCACAGCAGCTTCACCAGCAGTAGATTCCATATCAAGAAACCCCTTTCTTTACTCATCCATAAGAAGCAATTCCTTATTCAATCAAGTCTTTTCTTGAGATACAGCTATTCAGTCACATCTTCAGGCTCCACTTCTAATTCTAATTCTCTTGCTGTTTCTCCCACATCTGCAGTTACTTCCTCCACTGAAGTCTTGAACCCCTCAAAGTCATCCATGAGGGTTGGAATCAACTTCTCCCAAACCCCTGTTCATGTTGATAATTTGACCTCTTTCCATGAAGCACGAATGTTCTTAATGGCATCTAGAATGGTGAATCCTTTCTAGAAGGGTTTCAGTTCACTTTGCCCAGATCAGAGGAATCACTATCTACGGAGGCTTACAAAATATATTTCTTAAATAGTAAGATTTAAAGTCAGAATTACTCCTTGATCCATGGGCTGCAGAATGGATGCTGTGTTAGCAGGCATGGAAACAACATTAATCTCATTGTCCATCACCATCAGATTTCTTGGGTGACCAGGTGTATCGTCAACAGGCATTAATAATATTTGGAAAAGAATATTTCTTTTCTGAGCAATGGATCTCAACAGTGGGCTTAAAATATCCAGTAAACCATGTTGTAAATAGATATGCCATCATCCATGCCATACTCCGTTTATAGAGCACAGGCAGAGTAGATTTAGCAGAATTCTTAAAGGCCCTAGGATTTTGAGAATGGTCAATGAGCTCTGGCTTTGACTTAATCCCCAGCTGCAATAGCCCCTAACAAGAGAGGCAGCCTGTTCTTTGAAGCTTTGGAGCCAGCCATTGATGTCTCTCCAGCTATAACATCCTAGATGGCATTTTCTTCCAAAAGAAGGCCATTTCATCTGCATTAAAAATCTGTTGTTGAATGTATCCACCTTTAAAATTATCATAGCTGGGTCTTCTGGAGAACTTGCTGCAGCTTCTCCACCAGCACTTGCTGCTTCACCTGCACTTTTATGCTATGGAGACGGCCTCCGCTGGCTTCAACCTTTTCTCCCGCAGCTTCCTTACCTGTCTCAGCCTTCCTAGAATTGAAGACAGTAAGGGTCTTGCTCTGAATCAGGCTTTAGCTTAAGAGAATATTGTGGCTGGTTTGATCCTCTATCCAAACCATTCAAACTTTCTCCATATCAGCAATAAGGTTATTTTTATTTCTTATTACTCATCTGTTCACTGGAAGAGAACTTTTTATTTCCTTCAAGAACTTTTCCTTTGCATTCATAACTTGGCTAGCTGTTCAGTTGGAAGAGTCCTAGCTTTTGGCCTATCTTAGCTTTCAATACGCCTTCCTCAGTAAGCTTAATTGTTTCTAGTTTTTGATTCAAAACAAAAGACATGCAACTCTTCCTCTCACTTGAACACTGAAAGGTCACTGTATGGTTATTAATTGGCCTAATTTGAATATTGTTGTGTTTTAGTAATACAGAGGCTTGAGAAGAGGGAGAGAGACAGAGAAACAACCTGTCAGTGGAGCAATAAGAATGCACACTTGTATTGATTAAGTTCACTACCTTATATGGGCACAGTTCATGGCCCCAAAACAATTACAATTGCACCATCAAAGATCAGTGATCACAGATCACCATAACAAATATAATAATAATATTAAAGTTTGAAATATTGTGAGAATTACAAAAATGTGGCACAGAGACATGAAGTGAGCAAATGCTTTTGGAAAAATTGCTATGATAGACTTGCTCAATGCCAGGATGCCACGATCTTCAATTTGTAAAAAAAATTCAATATCCACAGAGTGAAATAAAATGAGGTATGCCTCTCCATGTAATTTAGAAGCCCTAAATTGATTAAGAAAGTTAGGTTTCAGTCAGACTGTTATACATCACTACTAATTCTCAAAACATTTTACAAGGTAATTTTAAAATCTTATAAATTTAGAGAAAATGAGACTAATGAAAGTTAGTAGTTTTATAAATGATGGATCCATGATCAAACCCACTTTAATGTGACTCCAAAGTTGTGTTAATATCAGTACCTGATATTTATTGCCACCGAGAAACACATTTTGTTAATGAGGTAATATGAAGGCTACATCTACTGAGATAAGGAAAATTTTAAACATGGCAGTACTAAAAAATTTCAGAACAGTTTCCTCTGATTAAAGTTTCAAGAAAAATTAATTAAGATATATCACTGTTTAATGTAATACTTTTTATTTTTTCAGCTTTATTTAGGCATAATTACAAAGAAAATTTTAAGATATTTGAAGAGTACATCATGAAGATATGATATACATATACATTGTGAAAGGTTTCCACCCATATAGTGAATTAACACAACACATCCATCAAGTCACAAATTGATATTTTGTGTGTGTGTGAAGACAATTAAGTTCTACTCTCTTTGCAAACTTCCATTATACAGTGTTATAAACTATAGTCACCATGTTATACATTAGATCATCACACCTTACTCATAGCTAAATGTTTGTACACCTTTACCAACCTCTCCCAGTTTCCACCAACCCCCAGCCACTGGCAACTGCTTTTTTACTCTCTGTTTCTATGAGTTTATTTTATTTAGATACCACATATAAGTCATGTCATGCAGCATTTCTCTTTCTTTGTCTGGCTCATCTCACTCGGCATAATGCCCTTATGTTCCATCTGTATTGTCTCAAATGGCAAGATTTCCTTCTTTTATGGCTTAATAACATTCCATTTTGCATACATATCACATTTTCAAAGAAACTTAGGTTATTTCCATGTCTTGGCAATTATGAATAATGATGCTGCAGTGAACATGAAGGTGCAAATATCTTTAGAGGTAGTGTTTTTGTGTCCTTCAGATACACCCAGAAGTGGAATTGCTGGATCATGTGATAGTACTCTTTTTAATTTTTGAGGATCCTCCATACTGTTTTCTATGGTGGCTGCACCAGATTACATTCCCACCAATGGTGCACCAGGATTCCCTTTTTTCCACATCCTTCTCAACACTTGTTATTTCTTGTCTTTTTGGTAACAGCCATGGTACCAGGTGTGAGGTGATAGCTCCTTGTGGTTTTCATTTGCATTTCCCTAATGATTAGTGATGTTGAGCACCTGTTCATGTACCTGTTGACCATCTGTACGTCTTCTTTGGAAAAATGTTTGTTCAGATCCTCTGTCCATTTTCTAATCAGATTGTTTGATTTTTTTCTATTAAGTTGTATGAGCTCTTTATGTATTTTGTATATTAATTCTTTATCAGATACAGGATTTGGAAATCGTTTTTCCCATTCAATAGATTGTCTTTTCATTTTGTTGTTGGTTTCCTTTGATGTGCAGAATGTTTTGTTTGATGTAGTCCTGTGTTTGTTCACATTTCAGGAGTTTGGTTTGAAACCCAGGTGAACTTCAAAATTGACCCCAAACATGGAGGGGAAGGAGGGACAAAAGGGACAGAGCACTCAGATTGGTAGGTGGTGGTTTTAATAACCAAGAAAACTTATATATGAGGCTCATCTTGGGTGGCCACAGCTGGGTAGATCTCTGCAAGCACTCGCCATAATCTTACAAGTTTATATAGAAGCCTTAACTGAGTCCAGTCACAATACAGTTCAGATGGTCTCAACACATTACTATCCCAGGGTTGCACCCTTGAAACAACTCCTCTTAAGGGAATGGTGGTCTGTCAGAATATGCATTCTAATGACAAGAGAGGAGGTAAGGAGCTTCTAATTACCTGGGTCTGCCTGACAGGTCAACCATGTCCTCTAGATGACCTCTAGACATGTCCTCTAGATGACCTCTCATTCATTTTTGCATTAGCTGCCCTTGCCTTTGGTGTCAAATCCAAAAAAAAAATCATTGCCAAGACTGACAGCACGGAGCTTATTATACCTGTGTTTACCTCTGAGAGTCTTATGGTTTCAGATCTTATGTTCAAGCCTTTAATCTATTTTGAGTTAATTTTTATTATAGCATAAGATAACGGTCTAGTCTCATTCTTTTCCATGTGGCTGTCCAGTTTTCCTAATATGTGACTGTCCTTTCTCCATTGTACATTCTTGGCTCCTTTGTCATAAATTTACTGACCATTTTGGGTGGGCTTATTTCTGAGATCCCTGTTTTGTTTCATTGATCTACATGTCTGTTTTTTATTCCAATCTCATACTGTTTTGATTACTATAGTTTTGTATATGCCTACCAAACTCTTAACACTGATTTTAAAATGGAAAAATTATGTTGTCACTATTATGGGAAGAAATAAATGGTCAAAATCTTCTCACAAAACATTTCCAGCCTATTTGTTTGCAATAACAAGTTCTATAGTTATTCAAAAAAAATTACTTCACAAATTCTTCCAGAGAATAGATGTAGCCCTAACTCACTGTAGCATTAACTGAACACCCAACCTAACAAAGACTGTCAAGAATGGAAAATTATAGGGGAATCTTAATCAAAAACAAATGCAGAAATCCAAAGAAAGTATTACTAAACCAAGTCAATAATACATTAAAAGTATAGTTCAACCAAGGTGTAGTCATCTTAAAAATGCAAGGATGGTTTAATATTAGGAAACCTATTTATGCCTCACCACTTTAACTGAATTAGAAGAGAAACATATAATGATCTCCATAGATGTAGAGAAGATATTGGTAAAACCAATGTGCATTCAGTAATGATTTTTAAATCTTAGAAAACTAGGAAGAGAAGGTACTTCCTGAACATGATTAAGAAAATCTACAGCAAACACCATAGTGAAATATAAAATACAGGGTTAAATCTCTTTTTATTGAAATAAAAAGGTGTTTACTATATATTTTAGGTTAAAGAAGCAAATTAAAATGCTGTGTGTAATATATTAAAATATATGTTAAACATATATAAAACATAAATATTTGGAAACATAAAACATTTGGAAAAATGAACACCAAAATAGTAATGTTTATTTCTGGATGCTCGATGTTCTATTTCTTTTCAGCCTTTCATATCTACTTCTGAATTTTTCTATACTAAATATGTATTATGTGTGCAATTTTAAATAAGAAGGCTATCTTCTAACTCACTACACTGCTTAAACCGTGTGTGAATAGTGAGGAATACTTTCTGGCTTGTAATTAGAATCTTATTTTTTTATGCCTGGACTCAGTTTGTTGCTATTATTGCATATTTTCTCTCCAAAGACATTGACCCCATTGGTGTTTGGGCTGGGATCTTTTTCATCAAAATAAATTACATCTTAGATTAATTAGAAACTATTAGTAGAGCCTCTTAGGATCTCTTTACTCAGTTTTCTGCACACTATTATCCCTGAAGGAACAAAGAGTGTCTTTAATGTAAAAATCTGTTTTCCCAAAGAAAGTAAGAATGCACACTTTTGAAGAGCTAGAGAGGGTTCCTAACTTCCCCGTTTTCAAGCCTTGTTATCTTCCCTTTAGTTTCCCAGAGAGCACAGAAATATTTCCTAATCCAAAAATAGGATGAAATATCTTGTAATTCAGAAACCATGTGTATATTCATAGTGACTATGGCTTCCTAAGGGCAAGGGCCCAGACATGCACTTAGATGCCCCTACCGGTATATCTTTTTGTTCAGTTGTAGGTTCACTTATGACACCTGAGGTACAGCTCCTAAGTGAAATGATGAAGAATGTCAGAGGTAAGTACTGGGTGTTTTACTAGTCAGGTACCTTTCTATTTGTAACTGATTGTGAAGATATTTATGATTCATTCTATATAATGTTTCACTCCAGTTTCACTCTAGGAAAGAAAGCACTGGTTTCAGACTTTATTTTTGATACTTTATTAAGAGAATCAGTCATTTTTTAGGTTAGATTCATCAGATTGAACATGTGGGTAGACTCATTTAATGAATTATTAAATTGGTGGGGTCCCAGGTACAGTGGTTTGATTGGCATACAGAAACAACTCCCCAGATGTCTTCAAACTCACTTTGCTTATCTCTATATGTCTATCTCTCTTTTATCTATCAAGCGTCCATCTACATATCTGCCTATTCCATTTATCTCAATTATCAATCCTAAAGATCCCACTTTTTTTATATCAGCACCAGTGTCACCTATCTGCCAAGTATTGGTCCCATAGTCCAGGTTAATGTCTCTCTCCACCCTTTAAATAATGATTTACAACCTTGACATTGTACTGGAAAATCTACTTAGTGGAAGCTGATACTACTCACTCACTTCACAAACAGAAAAGAGAGTTTCATATCCTTGCTGCTGGGAACACACACTTCATGGATATATTTTGGGAATAATACAAGACAGTGAAAGCCATTTAGACACCAAACTAACTGGATCCTAGTAGAACCCTTTTTTAAATTTTCTAATGGGAGAAGACATAAAACATAATAACTCTAGACAATGGAAATGTAATGCCAGACACATTTGCAATTGAAAAATTTCCAGTAATACTTAAAAAAGTGAAAAGAAACAAGCAAAATTAATTTTAATTATACATTTTCTCTGTCAATATAGTCAGAAAATTGTCATTTCAACATGTATTCATTGTAAAATTATTAGTGAGATATTTTATATTAAATTTTCTTACTAAGTCTTCCAAATATTATGTATTTTACAGTTGCTATAAATCAGTGTTCAATATCCATTAATTGTTCGATATCCACATTAGGTCAGCAGCTATTATACTGGCAGCAGGGACCTAGAACATTTAATGAAGGTAGAAAAGAGTTAAGTAGACCAACATAACATATTAGACATATGAAGAAACAATTCTGTTGTTCTTGACCAGACCCTGAATGATCGTGCAGCTGGCCACTGGTTTTGATACCATATTGATAGATAAATTGAATAAATAGAAATGTGTAAAGAAGAAGAATATCAGTTACCTGTTTGGAAAATAGGGCACAAAGGAAAAATCCAGAGTTTGGTTATTTTTCCTCTTTATCAGACTGGATATAATCAGTCCATTAAAAATATAACTTAATACTCACTGGCAAAAAGCACCTCATGAAAGGCTTTCTTCTGCATACCTTCCCCTAAAAACGTTCTCATGCCTTCTGTTACTAAGGTGAAAAACCCACTGTAGATATTCATTTCTTTGTATATATTTAGCATGTCTGTTTAATGATTCTGGTTGTGAAAGGGTAAACCTCAGTAAAACAGCAAAATTTGTCATGCAAAACTCTTTGCCAGGCACTATATTCAGTGCTTGGTATAAAAGAGAGATTAAGTTCTATAACTTATAGTTGCCTTTGAGGGAGCAGAAGACTGTATTGATGATTAGGAAGAAAGTTTAAAAGGCTGTTGCAAGTTTGTATGAACAGATAATGGGTAGCCTCACCAAATTTGGTGGTCAGGGGAGAGGCCTATGAGTAGGGGACCTTTGAACTGAGCCCTCAGAAAGAAGATGCATCCAGGAGTTGGCTGATGGAAAAACAGTCTAGGAAGATGACTCAGTTCATGCAAAGGCCAAAGTAGTGCTGCATGGGGGATCAGAGAGAGATCCAGAAAGCTAGGGTGTGGTCCAGGACAGTGAGAGATGGACAGGATTGCAGGAGACGGCTATGGTATGTACTTTGTTCTATAGACAATAGGAAGCTATTGTTGCATTTTAAGTTAGGGAAGGACATACACTGATGAACATTCTTAAAAATTCCCTCCAGTGGCCATAAAGAAAATAGTTGTAGAGAAGGAACAAGATAGTCAACAGAGAGATCAGTTCAGAGAGAGATGATAGGGATTTTGTCTAGTCTGCTGGCACTTTTGAGCTTTTGTCAGATTTTGTCAGATACATTTCAATGTAAAAAAAAAAGTACTAGATGATGCACTGCTCTCAAGGAGAGGGAAAAAAAGATTCAGCTACAACTCAGGGTTTTTTTTTGAGCATTTACTAGTCCATTGACTAATAATACTGCTAAACAGAGATCAAAGGGATGAAAATCATGAATTCCAGTTTCCAGTGCCTATAATTCATTGCTGTACTTTAATAATTACGGTACTCAAATTGTCATACATTTTGTCAGCTGGATCTTCTTCAAGATGGTTTCTGTGGACCTTGTGACAAGCCCTTGTTTGAGGATGTCCTTACTTTTGACATAGCAAGATGTTGCATGCTTACCTTGTACCTACTCTACTTCAGTCCTGAATCAACGAATTTTAAGGAACACTGGTTCATTTCAGTTTGAAACACAGCCCCAAATATGGGTTGTAGGTGAGCTCATTGCTACCTGAGCTATCTTTTTACTTAGCCATGTAATGTGCTTAAGACATGTGAGCAAGCATATACATATATGAAACACATTATAAACATATGCATCTATATGCATAAAATATATATATACCCACACATGCATATATAGGTGTTTATACTCCTTCATATACATATCTTAGAAATTATGAATTTACACTGATACCTCCCATTCCAGTTCATCCACTCAGGGTTCTTTGTCTTTCCTCAATCCATATTTTTATCTTTCTAATTTCTTGTTGATAACTCTAACAATCAAGATATTCTCATTAACTCAGTGCTTTAATAGATCTAAAGTATTTCACCACAGTTTTACCCATACTACTAGAAAAAAATAGAAAAGAGCTCAGGATTCCTGTCCTCCTTTCAGACCACGATTGAGAGGATACAGCCAGATGATGTGTTCATGAGAACTTGTATTAGGCCTTTTCTTTATCTGCACTGTTATGACTGTGGTATTCATTTGAGATTAAAATGAGCTGATTTGTTTCTAATTTGCTTCCAGTTTTAGGTCCTCCCTCCCATCTTCATCGATTAAAATTGATTTCATTTTTGAATATCCATATTAAAAAGTTTCTAAAGGATAAAGCTATGTGACAACTATATGAAACTATGTTAAAAATATATGATAGAAGGTGGAGCCAAGATGGCGGCCTGAGTAGAGCAGTGGAAATCTCCTCCCAAAATCACATATATTTTTGAAAATACAACAAATACAACTCTCCATAAAAGAGAGACCAGAAGACACAGGACAATAGCCAGACTACATCCACACCTGCGAGAACCCAGCACCTCACAAAGGGGGTAAGATACAAGCCGTGGCCTGGCGGGACCCGAGCGCCCCTCACCCCAACTCCTGGTGGGAGGAGAGGAGTAGGAGCGGGGAGGGAGAGGGAGCCCAGGACTGCTAAACACCCAGCCCTAGCCATCCGCACCAGAGCACAGACACAGTGAGTGCATGCGGTGCTGGAAACTAGGGAAACAGGAGAGTAAGACCTGTGAGTGGGTCCCTGCAGCCAGTGCCCCAGGAACAAAGAAAAGCAAGAGCTTTTTGAAAGTCTTAAAGGGACAGGGACCCCACAGCTGGACGGGAGCATCCTGGGACACTTAGCAAAGCAGCTAGGAATCCGGGGGAACTCTGGGCACCCTAACCCCCTGTGCAGCAGGGCAGCTCGGAGGCCCCTCATGGAGATAAACAGCCTCCTGGCCGTTTCCCCTCTGACACAGCTCCGCCATATCAGAGCAGCAGCATGAGGCAGGCCATGCCCACAGAAACTGCGGAGCTAAACTCCATAGTGGCCGGGCAAGAATCAAAGGCCCAGTCTGCGTGCAGATGCCAGCAAAAGCCACTAGAGGTCGCTGTTCTCCCAGGAGAGGAAGGCCACAAACTAACAAGAAGGGATGTTCTCCCAGCCATCACTCGTGAAAGCTCCACAAACTATCCCTATAGTTATGAAAGGGCATTATTTTGAGGCAGACAAAGATCACAGAGACAACACCAGAGGAGATAGACCTAACCAGTCTCCCTGAAAAAGAATTCAAAATAAAAATCATAAACATGCTGGCAGAGCTGCAGCAAAATATGCAAGAGCTAAGGGATGAAGTCCGAAGGGAGATTACAGACGTCCAGAGGGACATTACAGAAGTGAAACAAACTCTGGAAGGATTTATAAACAGAATGGATAAGATGCAAGAGGCCATTGATGTAATAGAAATCAGAGAACAGGAACACATAGAAGCTGACACAGAGAGAGATAAAAGGATGTTCAGGAATGAAACAATATTAAGAGAACTGTGTGACCAATCCAAAAGGAATGATATCTACATTATAGGGACACCAGAAGAAGAAGAGAGAGAAAAGGGGATAGAAAGTGTCTTTGAAGAAATAATTGCTGAGAACTTCCCCAAACTGGGGGAGGAAATAGTTGCTCAGACTATGGAAGTACACAGAACTCCCAACAGAAAGGACCCAAGGAGGACAACACCAAGACACAAAACAATTAAAATGACAAAGATTAAGGACAAGGACAGAGTATTAAAGGCAGCCAGAGAGAAAAAAAATGTCACCTACAAAAGAAAACCCATCAGGCTATCATCAGACTTCTCAACAGAAACCTTACAGGCCAGAAGAGAATGGCATGATATATTTAATACAATGAAACAGAAGGGCCTTGACCCAAGGATACTGTAACAAGCACGATTATCATTGAAATATGAAGTAGGAATTAAACAATTCC